GCCCAGAAAATCCATGAACGAGGCAAGGTGGCTGCCTGGTAAAAAGATAGTGTCATTTGGAAGCACCTCATGTGATGACTGTTACAATTAATTAAATGGGTTTAGGTATGTCTACCCGCACATGCGAAATACACAAATACTGTACTTTTTGCTGAAAAAAGATTAAATAGTCCTTTGGAGGAACCATCTAATAAAGCCTAGTGGGTAGCAAGCCTACAATCCCCCTCCCCATGAAGACCTGAGCTTCCCAAGAAGCAATGGGGCAGTTTCCTTTTTTTTTCACTAGAAGAAGGCCCAGAAGACAGGGATGTTCCAGGCGGATGGAATGTACACATGTATCTGTGAGCGGGAAGTCCCCGAATTCTTCCTGAGGAGGAAGTCCAAACAAAAACAAAACAATGAATGGCATGCCTTTAATCTGAATTCTACAACTGATACAACCTGGGGTGTGGGGATGGATATCCTGTCTATAGAAGGTAATTGTTAAGGAAAATTGAAAAAACGGGGGGATTTTGCCACATTTTATTGCATTTGATACTGTTTTAAGCCTTGTGTCATCTGGATGGTGAAAAAAAAAACCTGGTATCTTCAGCACACAAAATGGTTCATCTGGACAAGCCCTGCATCTTGAAACTATCAAAACATCCTAGCTAAAATTGTGCCCATGTCAGATGACCTGAAATCTGCATTGGTGTCCTTATTTCAAAGGAAAACAACCTGAGTGTGCTTGGATTACTGTGAAGTATCTACATCTGTACCCAAAGGAAGGAAAATTGCCATCCTTTAGTCTGTGCTTACCCAAAGATCAGACCCGGGCTAGGACCCATCATCCTGTATAGAGTGGCTGCTGCCAACAGCCCTTCATACTGAGGACTGCTGTTTGTGAAGTAGGACTCTCAGCCCTCCGCAACTCATGTCATCCTGTGTATCAGGTATCTGAGTGCTTTATAAGTTGTCCTGTATTGACACACTCTTGATTTGTGTCTCTTGTGATCTGTAAAACCATCCGGTGCCTAATCTGTCTTTATTGCTGACTCTCCTTAAGCATGCATTAGGGAGCCATTTTCATTCCTAGAACCTTATGGATATTTTTCTTCTTGCGGCTGTGGTGTCGATTTCTGGAAAGAGCACTGGGTTATGCTTCATGTTAAATGACAGAGTTTAATCTAAGCCCACAACCTCTGGGAAAGACAAATCTGAAATATACTGGTTTCTGGGTTTGTTTTTCTTGATCTCTGTCGCCAAGGTGGATGAGCCTGGATTTAATCTGTCACATAGGCCTTGAAAGAGAGAGAGGGTGGTAAGAAGCTGGACTGCATTTTATCAATTTAAAGAGGAAAAAAATGGTGTAGGGGGGAAATTCTTTTAAAAGCTACTTTTAAAGAATAATTTGTTCCAGCTGATTGTTACATTATTTGAAAAGCAACCTATTGCATTACTTAATGTTGTGTTACTTGTTGATCATTACTTTTCTTTTAATTACTTTTGGGGGCACACTTTTCAACTGATAAGAGAATGGCATAATTTTTTTTTAAAGTCAAACACTTCTAAAATGCCTTTAAAAGTAATCAGAAAGTAATTAGAAGTACATGAGTTAGAAAGTAACTAGAAAATGGTTGTTGTAGGTTTTTCAGGCTGTTTGGCCATGTTCTGGAGGTTTTTCTTCCAGAACACTAGAAGAAAAACCTCCAGAACACGGTCAAACAGCCTGAAAAACCTACAACAACCATCGGATCCCGGCCTTGAAAGCCTTTTCATTAACTAGAAAATGTTACATGATGCATCAATTGAAACAATGTTGATCCTCTTCTTTATTTGTGTTGTAACTTATTACCCTCTCATTATAAGAAAGTTATGTTATTGATGACTACATTATGTGTAATTCATTACTTCAGCTTTGGTTTACCTCTAAGTATGAACTTGTTTAAAAGGTACTGTACCTTTTTGCACTGTTGGTGGTCAAGTTGTTATTACAAATTGTTTACAGAAACTATAGATGAGAGGCAACAGGGAATGGTGGATAGAGAGCTGAACATTAGGTAGAGAAGTGGGTTCAAGTAGACAGGCCAGAATCAAGTTGGTGTTTTTGGACCATGTGAGTAAAAACACAGAAGTTATGGCAATTAATTGAAACTAGTTAATTAGGCGCTAGTTGCACATCTGGTCACATGACTAAGCACGCAACCCACACCTCTTTAATTAGCATCAGTTAGCTGCTGTGACTTCTGTTTCATTTATGTGTGCATTAAAAACCAACAGGATTCTGGCCTATGTTTCTAAACTAAGACAGATGTATAAACAAAGTGTCATTTTATAAGAACTACTGGCTGCTGTAGAGAAACCACAACTGCTAAAGGATATTTTAAAAAGGGTAACACACACCTTGTATTCAGCGTTTTTTCTTTTTCATTAAAAAAATATTTGATAGGGCATTTGTAAAGTTGAAAAAACTGATTCAAAAAGAAATACTGTTGCCTTAACAACATTACTCCAAATGCAAGAGAGGCAAATGGATCCCACAAAAAGAAAAGGGGCAAGCCCAGCCACTTTTGGAACCATTTTAAGGCTTTCCCCCTCAACTTCCAATCCTCTGCTCAGAAAATGCAGCTACCGTTCTTGACAAATGGTGGCTATCTAAGGGCAGAGACATCTCTGGGGCTTAGCGGGTCCGCAAAGGGGACCTCAGCTCTTTGCTTTAGGAGTGGAGCAGGTAAAAGACTTGCATTCAGTCCCGCATTTCTCCAGAGTGAAGGACTGCATGCTTTTCAGGACTGGGAAAGGTCCTTTTCTCTGTTTGAGATACCAGAGAGGCCGCTGGCCGGCCTTGACAGCACTCTAGGCTGGCGTGGACAGGCAGTCTGGAGTCACGCCACTGCATTTTTGTGCCTTTTTTTCATTGTGAAAATAATTGGGAGGGGGGAGCGCGACAAACAAGCCCTCCAGGCAGCTCCATTCTTCTTTACACGGGGGAACCCGCTTAGAATATCTGAAAGCTGATTTGGTCTCCTAGGAATCGGCTGGCAAAAGATTTCATTTCAAATATTTATTTACCCCCTCCTGCCCTCTTGACTGCACTGATCATTTCAGTGCATGTTGTGTAAAACCGTGCCTCAGCTTCGGGGGAGAAGTGGGGCGGGCGGCGGAGGAAACGCCCTACGGGGGCAGCTTTTGTGTTTGGATGAACTGGGAAACCACGAGCGCCGGCGCTTTCCCTTCGCCGTTAATCACCTTTTTTTCAGCTCACGCGCCTCGCCCTGAATAAGACGTCTCTGAAGCGCCTTCCCTTTTGTCCCTGCTGGGAAGCGCGTCAGGGCCGCGGCGGTGGCGGGAGGCCAGCCGAGTGGCGGAGTTGAAAAGGGAAACGCCGCCGAACGGCTTGCTTTTTCTCATTTATTTTTTTCCAGAGCCGCTTGCGCCCTCTTCCCCCTTCCTCCCCCCGCCGCCTTTCTTCTTCTCCTCAGACGGAAAGAACAAACAAGGCCCCATAATCCGTGAGAAAGGCCACCGCCCGGCGCTTCCGCTGCCCGGCCCCAGCGCGGCAGGCGGCCGTTTTGACAACGCGGGCCCTTCTGAGCAGTGTTATGAAACCGCGTGTCAGACTGGGTGGGGGGCGGGGGGCGAGGAGATGGTAGAAAGACAACATTTGGGCACCAGTATGGGCCAGAGACCCTCTGTTTTGGCCAAGGGGGAAAGAGGCACAGCAGCTGGTACACTGCGAGGAGGGGCCCGTCCCCCACCAATACGAAGAAGGCCAAGCTATAGCTGTTTGAGACATTTTGACCAGTGCTGTACATATATAGGAAAACTGATATGCATACATGATGATATGCATACATGATATAGCACTGGTCAGAATGTCCCAAACAGCCATAGCTTGGAATAATAAAATGTTAAAACAGTCAATTATTTTAACTCTTAAGTACCATAATAACATTTTATTATTCCAAGCTATGGCTGTTTGGGACATTCTGACCAGTGCTACATGAAAAGAAACTTGCTTTTCTTTGGTTTTCAGTAATTGGGACATTCTGACCAGTGCTACATGAAAATAAACTTGCTTTGCTTTGATTTTCAGTAATACTAATCATCATCATCATGTGCTGTCAAGTCATTTCTGACTTATGGAGACCCTTTTCAGGGTTTTTCAAATAGAGGATACTCAGAAGTGATTTTACCATTCCCTCCTTTGGGGAGGGGGGCAGCTTGGAACTGTGTAGCTTGCCCAAGGCTGCACAGGCTGACTCTACTTGCAAGAGGCACAAGTGAGAAATCAAACTCCTGACCTCTGGGTCTGCAGCCAGATGTCTAAACTCTTGAGATTTGTATTGATTTTATATTTATTCCAAATGTCATGCTAGAAACCCCCAGTTCACATCACACCAGGAAAAGGTCAACACTTGCAAAAATTACTGTTCTGGACTACAGCATCTGGAATCCCCCAGCCAGTTTGGTATCTGGGAGCTGTAATCCAAAAATGTAACACTTACAAGCTGTTGAAAAAAATATATATGAAGAATTTTCATTAGTTTTTCAGTCCACTGTTGTCCCATTGTATTTAACCATCTCTGCCTAACACGCCTGTAGCATTCTGAAAGGTGTGTTATGTTGCAGAAGAACTTCATCAATCCGGTGATATGCTCTGGGCATAGAAATTCTGATGGGAACATGAGGATTCTCTGCCCAGAAATATTTCCTCCATTTCTTCAAAGAGAGGGAGCCAAACCATGCATGCAGCTATTTGCATATGCTGATTAGGTTTCTGCATTTCAAGGAATGTGCATTAAAGAGATTCATTCAAACACACATTCTAATTGCACAAATACAGTGATCTCTAGATCAGGGCAAGTGATGATAAGTTTTGGGGATGGTTGTGGAAACAGGGCTCCTATATTTAAAGCTGCCAAATTAGATTAAAGTGTACTGCAATAGCCTGTTTTCCTCCTGATGCAAGCAGAATATCACAATGAGGGTGAAAGTTAAATGGAACTATAAGTGCTCACCACAGCTTCTGTACTTCACTTCCAAATTGTCAGTCTTGCAGATTGTGTGTGAAGGCCATCTGGTGATGCTGGTGACAGTCCAGATCAGCAAGAAGATGAGAGGAGCCACTTTCAACATCTTCATAGTGCCCATTGAACAACGTCTAGTCTGTGTGCAAGTGTCTCTTCCTTGTTGCCAACATTTGAAGAACTACTTTCTTTACTTCCTCTTTCTAATAGGCACAGCAGCTCCAAGCTACTGTGTTCATTACCTATGCAAGTCTTAAATAATACAGTACAAACTTATGCCTTGAAAAAGGGTAATAGAGTGAGCAAATGGCTAGCCAGTGGGGTAGTATTTCTCTTTGAAGGTTTCTGTGTTCTGCTTCATATTACATTAGGCTAATGTGATAACTTAGACAACCCAAGTTTACTCACTTTACTCACAAATAAAAGTAAGAGGATTATGGTTTTTGATTAAAATATCTCAGAATTACCAAGGCAGAATAGCTGAATGAGGAGTTTTGGGAGTTGTAGGCCAATGACACAAACCTGCACACCTCTTCTCACAACAGAACGAACAGGGAAACGAATCCTCTAGAATTTTCAACTACCATAATTCATTACCATTGGCCCTGCTAGCTAGGGATTCTGGGACGTGAAGTCCAAAATATCTGGAAGGCCACAACTCCGCCACTTCTGTTCTGGAGCTTCCATGTGGAACTGTAGAAAGAAATCTTCCATGCTAATCTTTTTCTTCTCATTCCTTACCCACACAAACCCATATGTTTATTTGATTCATTCATTTGATTTAAAGCTGTCCTTTCTCTTACAACTGGAATTCAGGGTGGCTCACAACAAAATTAAAAACAGATAAACTTTTAGCTCTCCAAATGGCATGGACTTCAGCTCATGGAAGCCACAGCCAGCATGGCTGATGCAAGAAATGGGGACTGTTGCAATTCAGAACAAATGGTGCTTATAACATTAAATCACAATTGTACTGCATAAAAAGTTAATATTCAATTAAAGACATTACCATATTGAAATACTGTTGAATTAAAAAGCAATTTAAAAATATATTGATATAAAGTACAGCACCCATTTATTAAGAAACCCTTTCTTACCTTCATTCTTCATCCAATTATAGGAAAAATCCAAAGCACTGTTACTCCAGAATTTTAGTTTTAATTGAAAAAGTAACACACGTGGTGTTTCTTCTTGCTTGTTGCTTTAAAAGCAAGACATCAGTAACTCTTCTAACACACTCCTTTTCAATTATTTTATTATTAATTTTTTTAAAAATATATTTCAAATACTTGTGCATATTTCTGTATTGTTATGAGCGTATAAATTTGGCACCAGCTTTCAGGGACAATCTGTGACCTTTATTGGGACCGCTATATGGGAACTTTGAATTAGATCCAGACTTAGATATCAGGCTTAGTGTAATTATTTTGATATCAACAGGACATAGAACAACTTGAGCTGCATACCTCAGTGGATTGGAGTGCCTGGGTCCAGGAGTTTGAATCCCACTTTAAAGTAGTTTGTGCCCACATAACCCCGAGGAGGATTTTCATAAATTGGGATTGATTTGATGGCACATAATGATCATTAGAGCTGTTTCAGGTTAGGATTTTGTCATACCATTACCTTGCTTTATTCACTGAATTTCACAGATGCTTCATATGACTTTGCAATCTATTTGAAATCCTGCCTTGTTTTTGCACCACTTCCTTTGTCTCCTGTCTTTTTTCTAACCAAAGAAAATCTATTCAGTAGGAAAAGCTGCACAGTGCCTTCTAATTGTTGGTGCAAACAGTCCTCCATTGCAAAAGAGCCACAAGTCATGACTACTATGTCCTTTACTTTGTGGGTCTACTCTAAGCATGATATCTAAGGATGCATACACCATGGCATCCAGCCTTCAGGTGTTGTTGGCAGGGGGCTGATCATTAACTGGATTGGTGGAACCAGCCCGAGACATTTTACTACCTGTGAGGAAAGAGTTGCTGCCCCTCCTGTTTCATGTTCTAACACCAACTGGTCTCCCATTTGAATCTTTCCCCCTTTCAAAGCCTAATGGTAGGACTGTCTGAAGGGATCATATCTGGCATAGAGAGGAAGTTTAAAGTTTTCCTTCTCTACTGTGGTTGTGAGTGAAATCTTTTCTGAAGCTGGTATTTGCATCAGGAGAAAACAGTTGTCTGTTTTTTAAAATGACAACTCCCAGAATCCCTTAGCCAACATGCCCAGCTGTAGCTGGGGGTGGGGGCAATAAAGCTGCCAGTAAATGGGAAGAAATCCCCTATTGGACCATGGGAAGGTCTGTGAGAAGTGAATAAAGGTCTGCCTACACAGAGTTGAACTACAGTGCAGAACACGTACGCTGGTCCAAGAAAGGAATAACGAGACCATAGATCTGTCTGGTTTGATCAAACAAACCAATAGCAATGTCTGGTTAAAACAAGAACAATTATCCAAGGGAATGTGATAGACAAGCAGTGTCTGGCACTAGTGGTGAATGTGCTGTATTTAATATTGACATAATGTAAAACTCTCTTCCAGCTGAGAATTGCATTCAACTCCAAATTGGATGTTAGCTTGCAAAATCAATTTTTCACATTCCTTCTCTGCTGGCCTGTTACCACCATGTACCATGTGAAATGTTGCCTATTTGAGCTGCCATTGTCAACCCACTTACACAAGAGTAAATCCCATTTAATTCATTTGGCTTTACTTCTGAGTAGATGTGTAGAGGCTTGCACTGTTAACTGGGCAGAGGTTAGCACACTTCCAAGCAAAGCTTTTGCCATCTTTAGTTCCAGAAGGAAAACACACCACATTCATTCATTCATGCATGCATGCTGCATGTGCATGTATACAAACTTCTGATGTCAAAATTAAAATGGCCATTATGTGTTAAGTTGGCACCAAGACAAAGCTTTAGGGGAAGGGAGCTGGAAAATCCATGTAGCAATAATTTTTTAAAAAATATGCAAGGGTCACTTTAAAAATCATATGAAAACTAAGCAGCCTTACTAGAGCAGTGATCCCCAACCTTGGGCCTCCAAATGTTCTTGGACTACAACTCCCAGAAGCCTTCACCGCCACCTCTGCTGGCCAGGATTTCTGGGAGTTGAAGTCTGAGAACATCTGGAGGCCCAAGGTTGGGGACCACTGTACTAGAGAATTCATTCAATTAAAGTCTATGAATGATTTGAACAGAAGTGTAGGATCATGATAGATTGGAGGGGAAATCCATCTTCCAAGCGGTAATAAAGTACCAAGTTGACACTGCATGCAGAGGTGGAAAAAGCAACTTTTTTGGATTATAGATCCCAGAACCCCCCAGATGGGCCACTAAGTAACTTCTACAGGCTCTGTTTGTATTGGGATAACATGTTTTTTTTTCAAACAGCCTTGCCCCTGCCAGGATATTCTGAGGAGACAATGAGAACTGAAGCATCAGTGATCTGTAACTTTCACTTGAGCCTGCTTCTTATAATTGGAGGATGGAGTTGTCCTGACTTCTGTTGGTTCAGAGGCAAAGGCTTCTGTGAGATCAGCACCAACATGAAATGTTGACCTCCAAGTTGTAAGGTTTGGCTCAATCTGCTCAAGTTGACAGGAGTGCTTCAATTCTGATAGAACAAAGGCAAACAGAGTAGTCTGTCATCCTGTTCTTGGTTTTTTCTATTCACAGAGGAGGTTTCCTCTGACAAAACTGGTGCACTCCAACTAGAAAGAGATGCTGTTTGTTTGCACATGTCTTCCACTGCTGTGACCAGTGACCCTTTGTAGATCCTCCCTTGACCCCAATCTGCAATGCAACAAAATCCCAGACTGGCCAAAGCCGCTGCTGGAATGCTAAGAAGTTATGAATAAGATAAGCTTCTGAATTCTTTCTCTCAAGCACATATGGTGTAAGGCTTTGCATTTAGGCAAATAGTTTAAAAATGCAGCAGATATAATGCTGTTGGTTCATGAAGGCAGGCAGTCAACAAAGCAAAATGAAATTTTGATTTCACATGAGAGATGACAAAGGTATCCATAGGTAGGTCCTCCTCCTCCTGGGACAAAAGACTAGCTAGCTTCCCAACATCTGGCAGTTGTCCTTGGTGAAACCACACAGGCCTCTTTGTAAGCCCAGAGGAGAAAAACATGAAGCAAGTTCTCAGTGTGTATGTCAGCATTGGTATCACACTAGGATATAATATCAAGCATAATCAAATTGGTAGTTATGCCTTATGGCAGGAAGAGATGGACTCCTCACTGGGGTTCCAAATTCCATGTTGAGGTGACACCAAAAATGTTGAGGCCAACCAAAAAGATACAAAAAGTGTGAAGAGGCACGCAATAACACACAAGGTTTTGGAAATGCATTACATTCATCAGTTGAGACTTTAAGTGTGAGTGATGAGGATGGAGAGGAAAAGTGGATTGGGGAAGGATCTGAAGTCCTTGTAGTCTACAAGTTGTTTCAGAAACTAATGGAGGAGACACATGGAAGAGAAAGCAGTGGGTCTCATTAGGTGATGCAATTGCATTACCTTTTGCTTGGGACAGCCCACAAACTCATTAAGGACTGGAAAATCAGAAATGTTAGATCTTTCATCTTAACTAGTACAAGTCTTTCCCAGGAAGTGACTGAATCTGGTCTAGGTTCAGTCTCGTGGAAAAGTATCTTCTTATAGTGGTAAAATCCTTTCCAAGGAGCTGATCCTGGTATTTCCAGTAGCAAATACACAAGATGGCCATGGTGTTGCTAGCTGGCTGGATAGCTCAGCGGTTGAGGTACCTGGCTGCAGACCCAGAGGCTGGTTGTTCAATTCCCCATTGTGCATCCCAGAAAAGCCAGCTTGTGTGGCCTGGAGCAAGTTGCACTGTCCCAGGGCACCCCCCAAAAGAAGGTAACGGTAAACCACTTCTGAGTCTTCTCTACCTGGAAAACCATGAAAGGCACGTGATTATCATTATTATTATGAATTTCCTTTAATAGCACATATACTTTTTTTTTAAAAAAAATTGCCATGTTATCTATCACAACAGAGTCTGAGGCTGGGCAGTACCTTTACTAGATTGACAGTTGTTTCACCAGTAAGCCAAACTTTATGTTTGTCCAGAACGTTTTATCAGGCAAAGATGAGCTAGAGAATTTAAAATCTTTTATCCTGAGCAAGTTGCACTGTCCCAGGGCACCCCCAAAAGAAGGTA